TGTCTCAACCTTGTGTCTTAATCTTATCTGCACATATAACAAATTAAATATTTAGTAAATCACTTTTGATAAAATAACTATAATTAACATGCACATATTTTGTTTTCGTCATGACGGTCTCTTTTTACAGACATTTTTTCTTAAAACTACTTCTGTGACAAATTAATAAAATTAAACTTACAATGACAAAATACTAAAAAAAATATAAGTACAAACATGTTTCTCATATAATTTTCGTGAAATTGTGTATTATACAAACTTTTCTATTATAGACTAAGACAGACAATGCTATACAATTAGTATAAGCATATTACACATAATGTTTGCTCAACTAGTTACTATTAAAAAACATTTTGTCAAAACTAACATGGTCTAAACTGCAGGTATCAAGTGAAGAAGTAATAGAAAGTGCTAAGTTGCTTGCTTTAAAAGAAGGTTTGTTGGTATGATAACTTGTGGCTTTTATTGATTTCACATTAGTTTTTATATAGATTTTCCTGTAAAATACAAACTCCATACTTCTCTAATTTCAATTATTCAAATTATTGGTTTTCACGTTAATTATGTTATTACTTCTTTTGCATATGGGAATTTCATCAGGTACCATAGCAGTTGCTGCCATAAAATTCTCCATACTTCTCTAATTTCAAATTATTGATTTTCACGTTAATTATGTTAGTACTTCTTTTGCATATGGGAATTTCATCAGGTACTGCAGCAGTTGCTGCCATAAAATTGGGGAAGAGACCAAAAAATGCTGAAAAATTATTCGTTATAAGTTTCTAATCTTTGAAAAGTTTAATTTTATTTAATAGGAATTATGAGATAATTATGTTAAAAAAATTTACCCAACAAAAGGATCTATAATAAAAGATGTATGTGAAGAAACAAAATAGAGGAGAAGTGGTGATGAAAAGTGAAATGACACTTTACTTGAGAGAGTATGTAAAGGAATTTGGTTTTGAGGTTTACGGGAAATGTGACAACTTTGGAGAACTTTTTTACTCTGGAAATTAGGGGTTAATCATGAGTGAATTGATTCCATTGCATTAACTAGGAAAATTTGTACAACATATATATAAGGAAGCATATTTTTTATAACTCGGAAGAAAGAATTGTAATAACTTAACCTAACGATACAAACCTACAATTTTAATAACCATATAGTGGATGGTATATAACAGTATAAGATAACAATAACTTACATTAACATTTCAAGCATATGTTAGATGATGTATAACAAAATAAAACTACAACAAGCAACAATAACTTACATTAACATTTCAAGCATACAATTTTCAAGTTAAAAAATTTACAAACTACATCAATAAATGCTACACTAGGACATTATCTGAATAGTATTTCAGCAAATATATAGAAAGCAATGTCACTAGCTCACCTAAATGAGAGGGAGTGTGTTATACATAAGACGGTGCAGTCTAGTGATGGACCTTGCAGGTAAGGAGAATGTTATTTGAATTACATTACTTCTTTTTGTGTATGCCCTTTGGAACTTGCATTATTACATTCTTCTTAATTATAGTTGCATGCGATCTCAATGATGGATTTAGGTTATATGGTACTTATTTAAAAAGTAAATTGCAGGTTACATGTACACTACACTTCAGCTCACGTGCAAATTAGACATACGATTTTAAAAGGTGAAAATGATCCCCTAAACTTCATATTTTGTGTAAAAAAATCTATCAACCAAGCGTGAAATATCTACCAAGGGCTAGGTGCATGTCTCTCAACAAGTTTGGTGCATATGCTTTGGTACTAACTGCCAAAGTGGAAGTAGGTGAATTCTTTGATGGTTTAAACAACATTTGTAAAAATAACCATGCAAAGCTACAATTTCTTATGTGTGTAATGGCTAAAAAAATATGATTTCAAAATGATATATAGTTATTTGTAAAAATAACCATGCAAAGCTACAATTTCTTATGTGTGTAATGACTAAAAAAATATGATTTCAAAATGATATATAATTACACAAACAAAATACGAAGCATTGTTTTATCACACTAAATTATCAGGATTTGAATATGACTATGGTGATCTGAACTTGCTTTTACTCATAAAGAATTCAATTAGAAAAAGTTTAACTATTTAGTTTCTAACTAATATACTTTTCAAAATGTTTCAGATGTCAATATACTTCTTCATTATAGCATTTTATCAAACACTTGTTGGACATTAATATAGCATCACAACTCAAGTAACCTTAAACTTTGAAGAACACTTTCATTACAAACTCAATCAAAGATAAATAGAAAAGAAGGCAACAATGGACTAGTACCAACACTCACTACAGGAGTCGCTCGAGCGAAAGAGAGTGACATTCACGAACACTCACGCAGTCGTCGATCATGGACGAAACTGGGAACTAAACAATAGCAAGAATGCTCACGAAGTCCAAAAATCGTGGACGGAGGTTGAGAGAGACGGAGGTCGAGCGAGAGGAAGGAACCTTAGACGAGTTCGAGCGAGAAGAAGAACGGAGGTCGAGCGAGAGGAAGAGAACCCTAAACATGAATCTCACCTTTTACAAATTCATCTCCATTTTCATAATATTACATCTTTAAATTTGATAATTTACAAATAAAACCTCATTTTCAATCAATTAACATTTTCCTCCTAGTTGTCAAACGGACATTTTTCCTCACGTTTTCAAAGTATCGTTTTCGTATGTATGAAACCTAAAATCAGAAGTTGTCTGGCACCACTCCACTTTAAGTTTTTTCACACAAAATCATATATAGAGACAAACATTAGTTGGTGGGGCCGAGAATAATATGTTTAATATAGACTTATAAGTATAATGGGATCATGTCACAATCATAAGCACTTCAAATATCCTTTTTATACGTGCAAAATTAACAGATCCAACTTCACCACAAAATCCTTATTAGTCTAATAATGTTAATGGAATCGCCTTTTTTAATTTATTTCCTATATTTTAGAATACTATTTGTTTAACTTGTATTTACAGTATACCAATTTAAGATATATTTAACCGATTTAAACATATATATTTATCATTAAAAGTATCACTTTTTTGTTTTATTTTTTTCCTTAAAATATGTAAAAATCAATTTTGTTTACTCCCTAAGAAAGATTAAAACAAAATGGTTTCTAATAAATGTAATGACTAAAGAGTAATAATTTTTTATTTTGAAAGAAATTACTGTGAACTAATACAAAATTATAATTTGTTTAAGATTATTATTATTATTATTATTATTATTATTATTATTATAATATATGATAATTTGTGAATGCACACATCATTCGTCGTTCTATATTTTTTTAAATTCAATATAATTTCTTCTGCTAAGTGGTCATTTTCTAAAACCTAATAACACTTAACATGATCAATGATTTGCGCATTTCAAAATTCTCAACCAAAACCGACAGCACTAAAGTCAAGTCACACTTGCAAGTCAACATTCCACCATTTACAGTCCAAGTCCTAATATAATATCTTTCACAAGCATGCTTTAGAATTGAGTAATCATTAATTGTTGTAGCAAACACTTATCATGATATTATATATTTGATAATGAGAAAAAAACTATACTAAAATACCACACAAATACAATTCCTTAAGTGACCTAGTCACCCTCCATTATGATTTGAAGATGACGATGAATACAATGGTTTTGTCCCTCTCCAACCTTGTAATGATTCTCCATTAGTGATCCTTCTTCTTCCACTTCACCCACCTTAAGTACCACAAACTTGTCTGAATGAAACTTGTGGAGTCTAAGGTGACTCCTAATCATCCAAATATTATAAACTCTTTTTTATTATTATTAGTACTACACTCATAGTTCAAACTTTCACTCCCTCGATCACAAATGTGACAATGTTTCAAAAGGTTCCTATATCAAGTTTACACATTCACAACACATATTTTTAGAGAGATATTTTGATTTAGGTTTCTTTCAACCTAAACTACAAATTTAAGCTTCAACTTATAAATAAACACCAATAACCCAAAAATTAAAACAATTATTTTTAGTTTGTGCTCTTTTCCAAAATATTCATTTTATTAAATAATTATTTAAAAACTAAACTTTCACCATCATACATAATATAGTAAAAAAAAGAATAAAAACATCAATGTAATATTTATTTACAATATATATATATATATATATATATAATTTTATAATAATTGCAAGTTATATGAACAATGAATTTTTTATGATTGATATTATAACTTTTTCTTATTATAAAATTAATTTTGCGTAGTAATTTTAAAATATTAAAGATAAAAAAATATATACTTTTAATGTAGATTTTTGTATTATTTATCTAATTATAAATTGTTATTTATAATAAGTTAATTTACTATAATAATAACTATCTTAAAACTCATATCAACAATATTTTTTAACTAGTTGACATGTTAAATGTTTTTACCTTAAAAATATATAAAAATTAAACTTAAAGTTATGTCAATGATAAATCTTGTTAAATATTTTACCTTAAAAAATACATAGAAATAAAAAATATTATAAGAAGATAAACTAGACGTATAAGTTAATGAAAAATTATTTTTCATTATTTGACTGTGTTAAATTTTTTTTCTTAAAAATATAAAATAGATTGATTCAAAGTATTATACGTATAAAAGTTATAGTAATAATAACTTTTGACTAGTTGAGGTGTTAAAGTTTTTACCTTGAAAATATATACAAAGAATAAAACTTGCATATAAAATATATATAAATAATGATTTTTGACTGGTTGACCATATTAAATTTTTATCCCAAAAATACATAGAAGTTAAATTCAAAGATTAAATTGAGAAAATTTGGCTTATAAAAGGTGTTCAACAAACCTATCTAGCGCCACTTTGTCTCTTCTATACAACCTATCAAGTCTAATAGATCACCAAAACTCACACTCACTCTCCCTCGTTCAAAGTTCATCTCTCTCTCTCTCTCTCTCTCTCTCTCTCTCTCTCTCTCTCTCTCTCTCTCTAGGTGATGGCTTTCAATCCAAGAAAAGCACCAATATCAAGTTCAAAAGCCATGGCTGATGCAGCCTCATGGTGCTGTGCATGTCTTCTTGTGACCCTTATATTGGTATGCATATTCAGAGACAGTTCTGCACTTGAAGAGGATGATGAGGGGCTGTTGAGGGGCAGCAAAGTGGTGTCCAAGCCTTGTGATGAAATCTATGTGGTCGGAGAAGGAGAGACACTTCACACAATCAGTGACAAGTGTGGTGACCCCTTCATAGTGGAAAAAAACCCTCATATCCATGACCCTGATGATGTCTTCCCTGGCCTTGTTATCAAGATCACACCCTCACATACAACAAAATACTACAATATTAATTGAAATTTCAATTCCTACACATGTGTGTGTGTATGTATGTAAGTATATTTTCTTCCATATGGGCACCCTAAGTTTTTAGTGTAGTTTTGGTTAGCTTGTTGTAATCACACTCTGATTAATATGAAGAAAAAGTGTTGCATACTCTTTTCAGATTGTATTGTACATCTTCTATGTTTATGTGAATTTAGTGATCTTCTGCACTCACTGAAAACATATAGCAGAAGGTTTTGGTTTTAGCTGATAAATTGTAGCAGAGTTGGTTCATTTTCTTAAGTCCAAGCTAAGAAGTTAAGATTATATTTCCACCAGAAGAAAGAAGAGAATACTCTAAGATGCATTTCAGAGATAAATGGTAGAAAAATAGAAAAATAATTGTTAATTAATAATTTTATTAACTGGTAACTTCATACCTTGCTATTTTATTTGCTATTTCTAAATACATATATGCAATTCTCACCCAGATACCCCCCACTTGCAATTAGATTTCTAATTAATAAGTTTTGTGGGTAAATTATTTTTTCTTTCTGAAGTGATAACATAACAAAGCTTTTAGATTAGATTGGTCACATTAAATGGTAGTTGATGAAGTTATAATTATTTGACTAAAATAAAAATATTTGACTCTCAAGATAACTTGAAAAACCAGTATCACACACCAGAAAACGCCCAAAAAGAAGCTTCCAAAGTTTTATTTGTCAAGGAATAATTCCAATAGCTATGGCCAGAGAAGTTTTGAACACTTATCTATTGAAGACTTTTCCCCTACCCAAGGATAACATGATTTTCTTTTCTCTAAATTAACCTTCTCTGTTTTACATCAAAACTATGAAACTATGTAAGGTGAATAATCTCTTCTTTTATTTTTCTTTCAACTTCTTCGAAGATGTAAACTTTGTGGTTATGTTCTCCAAGTAGTCAAGGAACACTTCGAGGAACACTTTGTGGTTATGTAAACTTTAAGGTTATTGTATCGTATTAATCTATTAGGTATTTATAAAAACTTACTTATAAAGTTTATTTAATATATTATTAATAAATGAATATAGAAGTATAAAAGAAAATAAAACAAGAGAAAACAAAATTATAAATATATAAATAAATATATTTAATCATCAAACTAAAATTATATATATATATATATATATATATATATATATATATATATATATTTATGGAAATTATAAAATTTTGGGGTGAAGGCCTTCGCAAGAACCGTCCCTACGAAGGAATGTGTATAAAAATATTATTGAAATAAAAGTTAAAAAAAAAAAAAAACAAAGCAGAGAGAGGTGTGTTTGTGAAAAATGGAAGTGCAAAACTAAGGTGACATTCTTTATTCTTTAACGGGTTGGCCCATTGGGTCATTTAAAGCAACTTTAATACCTCCACCTTGAACATGGACCTTGCGCAATTTTAATGATGAAGAAAGCCTGTTTTTATGCATAACCAATGACCAAGTTTGGATTTTTCATTCCAGAATTTAGATTGAGAAGGAAAAGACAGCTAGGCACTTCATTTCCAAATCTAGGGTTAACAATAAGTCGAATTAACTTGATTATAGTTCATGATTTGATTAAATAATGAACTTATTGAATTTAATTCATGAATTAAATAACTTGTACTTGAAATAAACAAAAAAAAATTATTTTAAATTTTGAATTGAGCCGTCGATAAATTATTTTTTTTCTCAATTCAAAGGATGTGTCTTTTTATTGGTTTTTACAAAAACAAGAAAAATTAATATTTCCATATTATATCCATTATTCTCATTTTTTCCCTTCAACCATATTTCTACTAAATAATAAAAAAAAAGGGTTACATATATTTTCCAAAATCATGCTGCTTCACCTGTTAACCTGAAGGTTTCATCAACAATAAAATTTGTCTCTTCATGATATAAACTCCCCACATTTACAACATGTTATCGGGATAGAAAATAATCTCATCTACTTATAACTCTCTCTCTCTTTATTTTTATATATATATATATATATATATATATATATATATATATATATATATATATAGTAAGAAAAGAACACTGTTTTTTTATGGTTATGACATTTGAGTCAGTATATAATATAAAATTATCTATTTTATTTTGGGATATTATAAATTATCATAAATCCATTCAAAAAAATAAAATAAAACATTTGTACAAAATAATTTATATGAAAAAAGTTGTAGTGTACATGTGTTATCACATAGAAAATACAAGATAGAGAGTACGAGAAAAATAAAATATATTTATATACAACATAATGATATAATTGTTAATAACAGAAGAAAAAACAAAAACATCTAGACAATTTTGGTTTAACTAATTAATACTCTTCCTCCAACCAAAAAAGATACATCAATAATATCAATTTACTCTTTAATACTTTTGAATCTTTCAAAAGTTGAAAGCTTTTATCAAAATGTCAGCAAGTTGTATATTAGATTTCTGTATTGTTCAACCTCTAGTTTTCCATTTGAAACTTGCTCACGAAAGAAGTAAAATTTGGTTTTAATGTGTTTGTTTCTACCATGAGAGGCTGAATGTTTGGCAAGATCTATTCCATATTTGTTATCAATCAGCAACTTCAATTTACATGTTTGTTTTACCTTCAATTCCTTCATTAGTGAACTCAATCAAATTGCTTGACAAACTACTTCAGAGGTAGTTATATACTCAGTCTCATAGGATAAGAGAGTCACCACTAGTTCTTTTGTAGTGTAGGGTGTGTTAGGATCGAGCGCTTACCACTAGGCCAAAAGCTATAGCCATTAGTCAGAGCGCAACTCTTTTTACTTTAACAGCCCAAGCGCCACGATTCAATTGTGACTCGGCCCACCTGACCTTCGTCACAGGACAATTGATGCTACCTGCAACAATCTCCCCCTCAGCAATTGTCCTACAAGGTATCCCACTCTTGGATTGTGACTTGGCCCACCCGGCCTCTGCCACGGGACAATTGTGCAACCTGCAACAATCTCCCCCTCAACAATTGCCCACCAGGAATCGAACTCGTGACCTTGGCTCTGATACCAATTGTTAGGATCGAGCGCTTACCACTAGGCCAAAAGCTATAGCCATTAGTCAGAGCGCAACTCTTTTTACTTTAACAGCCCAAGCGTCACGATTCAATTGTGACTCGGCCCACCTGACCTTCGTCACAGGACAATTGATGCTACCTGCAACAGGGTGGTTGTCCATGTCCAGCTAGTTGACTCATCAATAAAGACATCCCTACTAATTGACACCTATTTTAAGATGGGGTTAAATAATTTGTATCCACCTATCGTATGATAACCAACCAGAACTTGTGGTAGGCTTTTATTATCAAGTTTCTTTCTTAGCTGCTCAGGTACATGCTTATAACACACTGAACTGAATATTCTAAGGTATGTTACATCAGGCTTGACACCTGTCCAAGCCTTTTCAGGTGTCATCATCTCCAAATACTTGATGGGAGATTTGTTTAACACATGTTTAACACATGTTCAGTTGTAACAACTGTTTCTCCCTAAAAATAACTTGGCAAGGACTTGCTTTTCAACATGTAATGGATCATATTCAACAATGGTTTCTACGCTCAATAATATTATTGTATTGAGGAGTGTATGATGGGGTATACTCATGAATGATGTCTTCTTTCTCACAAAAAAAGACATCGAATTCGACTGAGGCATATTCACCTTTACCATCAAACTGCAACACCTTTATCTTGCTTTCACTTTACCTTTCAACCATTCTTTTAAACTTTTCAAACACAGACATCACTTCATTTTTCCTTATAAAAAAATAAACACACATTTCATTTGTGAGATAATCTATAAAAGTAACAATATATCTATTTCCACTAGGTGTTTCAACTTGTATTGACCCACAAAACATCAGAGTACACCATACTAAGTTTCTCAATTGCTTTGCCAGCTACAAATTTCTTGAACTTTGGTTTGGCCTGCTTGCATTGAATGCATTCTCTACAAAATTCCTCTGGAATCACAATTGAGGGAAGTCTAGTAACCAGATTCTTGTGACTAAGCTTGTGCAAATGCTGAAAATTCAGATGGTCGAACTTATTATGCCATAATCACTCACTCCTATTATCTGCAGTGGCAAAACATTCATGCCTTCGTGTATTCATACCATCACGGAAGGTTTTGTTTTCATAAAGATTTGCATGAACCACCAATTTATGTTTTTTGTCATATACACTCAAACCATTCTCATTCATTTCCATGACAAATTCTTTCTGCAAAAGTTGTCAAGACTCATGAAGTTTGTCTTCAAATCTGGGACATACAACACATCATTAATGATGATTTCCCTACCATTATGATCCTTCAACACTACACGTTCAACCACTTTTTCATTGAGACTACTATTGTCAGCAAATTTGATTTTGCCTTGAGACGCATCATTAGTTTTGATGAACCAATCTCTCCTTCCATTCATATGCATTGAACACCCCGAATCAAGGTACCAAGAAAAGTTTTTTTCTGAATTTATATCACTGGTTTTGACCATCAACATCACCACATCAAATTATGAAGAAACATTATCTTGAGCTAAATTAGCTTGGTTCTTTGGTTTGTTCTTGGCACCTTTAACATTCCAACATTCATGCACAAAGTGACCATACTTCTGACAGTTGTAACACTTTGTCTTCTTCTTGTCAAATTTCCATTCTTTATCATTATTAGAGGTTTTCTGCTACTTCTTGTGATCTTTCTTATTCTTGAAAGTATCACCTGTTTTCTCATTTTATTTTTTCTTTTTTGAACATTTTTTTTTTCTTTTGAGGTGTTGTCTTTTCCCTTTCGGAATGTTCTAACTTGAAGAACCTACTCTTGATTATGTCTCCTCTCATTAATCCTAAACTCATGCATTTCAAGATAATGTTGCAAAACTTCTACCTCGATCTCCTCTAAGTCTTTTGATTCTTCAATTGTCACTACAACATGATCAAATCTCTACGACAATGTTCTTAGAATCTGATCAATAACTTGCTGATTAGTGATTGTGTCTTTGGAGACCCTCATTGCATTCACATGTTCTTGAACTTTATCAAATTAATCAAGAATGGTTTCATTCTCATCCATGCTGAGAAACTCAAACTGTCTCCTTAAGGTCTGCATCTTGACCTTCTTGTTCTTTTCTCCATCTCCATAAGTCTTTAGTAAAATCTCCCAGCATTCTTTCGCTATTGCAGCTTTGGAAATTTTGTTGAAGATATTTGATCCAACACATTGGTAAATAAGAAATCTAGCCTTATTGTCCAGTTTTTGAAGATTCTTGAAGTGCTTATTGGCTTCTTCTGTAGCCTTGTCTCCAGGTCTTCAAGATCACTCAACACCACATCTGCTACATCTTGAAACCTAAAGACAACTAACATTTTTATCTTCCAATCATCAAAGCACTTTCTATCAAATACGAGTAGTGCACATTGAATGATATTCTCATTCTCAACCATCTTGAATCTATAAATCCAAGAGTTTCACCAATCTTGATATATACCTTCAATTCGTCTTTAGTATTTTCAAGATTGTTCACCACTAAGGAGAATGTCTACACACTTCACACACGACTCACCCAAAAGCTGACAATAGAATTCAGAAAAAGCCTCACTTCTCTCACAATACAAACCGTGCTCTTGGTACTATGTTAATTTCAATGTAACAGTACATTGATTTATCACACACAAACAAGAAAATAGAGAACAGAGAAAAATAACTCAAAGACAACAATGTTTGTGATCTGTGTAATGCCTCAATAATTCTTATTGGATGACAAATAATGTATTTATATAAAAGACAATGATGTAATTACTAATAAAAAAAATAGAAACATCTAATATAAATAAAATTGATTTGACTAACTAACACTCTCAATATTATTTATAGAAGAAAAATATTGTTTGAGAATTTTCATGATATTTATTACATAACAAAAATATTTTTATATTAATAATACATAATTAACTTACTTTATTATTCGGTATTATTAATATTAAATAAATATAATTTACTATTTTAAATATCTACTAAAAGACCTATTACTATATTATTAATCGTTTGAAACTTTTTTATTATTAAAATTTTTCTTTTTTTATACTTTCCAAGTAGATATTCCTAATATATCTCAAAATAACAGTCATATGTACCGATTTATCTAAATATATTCATTATAGTAATTTTATTTTGATAAAAACAAATTTTTTTGTCTTTTTCATCGTTAATGAATTTTATATTCTTTATCCATCGTGAAATTTAATCTTAGTGTAAAAATAATTTATTTATTATTATTATTATTATTAAATGTCAATTGATTTTAAATTAAAATCTAATTTAAAATTAAAACATTTTAAAATTTTTTTCTACTATAATAAATACTTCCTTAATGGAAAGGAAGTTAAAGAAAATTTCATGTATCTTAATTATCCGATTAAAAATATAAAGAAAAATCTCATCTCACTTTCTTTATAATATATATATATATATATATATATATATATATATATATATATAATATTATATAATATAAAATATGTCCAATTCTAAAAGTTCACTCTATCCTACCCTTGTCATTAGCAAACTCACAATTAGCATGTTGAAGTTTAATTAATAGCTAAAAGTACAAAAGAAAACCAGTTAAAGATTTTTTTTGATGAGCAAGATATATATTAAAACATTAACGGATCTTAAAATAGAATCAAACCTACCCATAAAATCTTAGCCCAACACTTGTATATATATAAAAAGAAGGATTCCCACTAAGGTAAACTAGAGAGACTATTAGCCAATGCCTCATTAATTATTTTGTAAATGAAAAAGATTAGGAGTGCCCTAAACTTTTACACCAAAGCGTTACAAATTGACTGCGACTGTGATCATATTTTAGTTTATATATGTTTAGATTGCCACTATATATGTGGAATACCAAGTTCCTTTCCAGTGAAAAATATCTTTCTCGTGCATAACATCACATAAATTTCTCAGTTGGAAATTTTCAGTTCTCCCACTAAAATGAAAGTTAATTGCATGAGAAAACATATATTTCTAAGCACAAACGAAGTTAGGTAAACACTTTTTCACATCTTTCACACTATAGGCTCTTTAGGTTCAACAGGTGAATTTGATCTTAGAAAAAACTCACAACTTGCAAAACCAAAAGCCTTTCACTTTCTCACTGATTCTAGGAAAAATAGAAAAAATCAAGAACCATAATGAGAACTCAGACCTTTTACATGGTTTACATTAATACTTTCTTCACTGCCACATCTGGGGTTTGTCACTTTCTTTCGGCCAAATTTCCATTCACGAATAACATCTACACAGCACATAAGCTTACACGTTCTTATCTAAGTCTGGGTGACCCACATGTATGGTGTAGAGAATACTTAAACAAAGAAATTGTGGGAAAAAGTGAGACCATGTATATTATTCATCTTTGTGATATGGATAGAAGAAGAATATTCTCTGTGGACCGTACAAATTAGTAAATTATTATTTAAAAAATGAAAAGACATGTGCAATGGTATTAACCCTAGACAGGGAAATCAGCATTGCCACAAAAATTGACCCTTAAGTAAATTTTTTAGTTTACCAAGTATATCCAAATAAATGTCCAATCTCTTTCACATTTTTATCAACATCAAAAAAATTGTTTTGTATAGTTTCAATACGAGGGATTAATTTGAATTTAGTATTATAATGTATATTAACAATGTAAATTGTTTTATACCGTTATTTAATTATAAATTTGTATAGTAACTGATGTATTATTTAATTATAAACGATTCTTATATATTTTTAAATATTTTAGATTAATTTTGTATTTGTTTGGTATTTTGTTGATATATAATTAACGCAACAATGTTTGTTTACAAATTTTTTTCATAGAGAAGAAAAATATAATAAAAATTGAATTAATTTCTCTATATTATAAACTAATTTTAGCTTATAAAAAGTTATTCTTTTTATATTTTTCTCGTACAGATATTTATGAAACTTGTTTGAATGTATTGAAAGTAAGAAATTTTTTATTATATTAATATTCACTCACTTTTTTATAAGATTTGACACAACAATTATGATAATATGTAATTATGATTGAATAGTTATTGTTAATAGTCATATGACAGTTCTTGAAAAGTATGGGGTTAAGACTCATAATGGATAGGGCAATCCCTTCAGTTTCTGATAAACTCTGGAAGTCTTTTATGATTTTGGTGTGGTAGTGCTTATGTTCAGAATGTTTATTTATAAGTTGAGTTAAAAATATAGCAATGACAGAAAAAGGGGTATATATTGCACTGTTAATTATCAGCAAAAACGGACAAAAATAATTAAATAAGCTGCATAAAGTCACTTTTGGATCAGGACAAAACACCTTTCCGCTACTGATAAAAAAGGTTTGGTAATCTATCATTTACTAAGATCAAATGGTGATTCTTACCATGCTATAAATTGAATAGAGGAGTCTTGTATAACATGTGAATGTGGCCTTTTGTTTTTCTAAAAGCCAAGAGAGAGTCTCGGTGCTGCACAGTGGTGACTGGTGAGTTTGGCCTGTTAAAATGGATTTGTTGGTGTCAAGTCACTCACTTTGTTACACACAAGTTTGTGTTTCTAGGAGCTGCTGCTGACATATGTTTGTTAACATTATTATGCATTTGTTGTAAACTTAGTTTCTATAATTGCTTTCAGGTCAATTTTGCATCATTGAGTTCAGCTTCTGTCAAACTGAAGTGCCTAAAGCATTAATAAAGCAAAAGCATTACATTCATGATTGAAATGGAATGACGATATCTTCAGTCTTCATCTATATATGGTGAGTCCAATGCATATCTTTAATTTGAATACGTGCATATTTTCTTTTTCATTTTCATTTTCATTTTCAAGAACAAGTTACTGCATATATTTTGAATCCTATGATAGATTTGGAGGCGTATTTGTCAAGTGTATGTTTTGTATAACTAAAGATATATATGCAAGCCTTGCTCATGAGTGCAATGGTCATACTTGAAGTTGCACTTTGAATCCATTGCAGTCTGAAACTCACGTTTGTCTCCCCATGTCACCACGAATTCCTTTGGTTTCTATACCAGCAAGTGGATATGGCTTTAACACAGAGGTAGGGAAAGTAGGATTGGATTCTTCTAAAACAAGCAAGTATTAGTTAATGAGAAAATCCATGGTTAATATTATGTAAGCACATGTTCAAATATTGGCCATTGCTTTTTTCCACTAATTATTGATATTACTTACTTTACTGAGCCAAATCTGAAAAAGTGGATATCCATAGGAATAAGGAAAAGTATTTGTTGGATAGAGCTTTACTAATTAGAAGAGTGTGATTGGTCACATGCTCATCATACAATAACTAATATTTTAATTAGTGCAATAAAAAAACAACAACAACTTGAGTTCTGAATTTATTCTAATTAGTGGGTTTTATTTTATTTTCCACTCACAAAAATTCTATTGTAGATTGAAAATTTTTCATAAAGCTATGTGAGACCAGTTTGTTCTGTGTGGTATCTTCTTTTCAAAGAATAATTTTGTATGCATGTGTTCTTAAGATTCTCTTTGTCGTGCATGTACGTAAATTTGAAAGAATATATACACATCCACAAATTTTTTTTTTTCTAAGTAAATATAGTTTTGCTTGGTCCATATTCTTTCCAAAAGAGATTTCTCACCACAACCAAACATCAAAGTATCCTAAAAATCAAAACTTTCTTATTTGATTTCTTTCTATCATTTATAATGTCATTGGAGAAAAGTGAAATTAAGATGTTCTTACAAATACAGGTATATAGGTAATTTCATAAAAAATAAAAATAAAATTTTTAATTAGTTGGTGTTGAAAAATTGAGAAGGTTGTCTGGTCATAGAGAGGTGAGTGCACAGATGTGAGGTTAACGTCATCCCTTCATGTCACGTGCTCCTTCTCTCGTCGTTGCATTTTCTTACTTTTAAAACAGTTTTAGGTTCCTGTATATGATTTTTTTTAATATTTAGTAATATTTTTATTGGATATTTAATTTGAAATTTTTTTATTAGATAGTTAAAATAAAAGTTGATTTTATATCAAAAATTGAAAAGTTATTTAAGCTCAAATAAACTAATTTAGCGTGATTAAAAAAAGTACTTTAAATTTAACAAACTAAATATACAAAATCATATTTTTAGATCAGAAAGTGTTCTTAACAAAATAATTATAATTGATAATTTCAAATAAGTAGATCTAAAATTGTTACTTTGTGATTTATTCATTTATGAGGAGATGCTTAATTCAGTAAAAAAATTAATAATAATAAAAATTCTTTTAATAGAATAATTTTATTTATAGACTTTTTACTAGATAATTTTAAATAGTAAATTATATATATATATATATATATATATATTTAATGTTGATTATAATCAAATAATTAAGTAAATTAATGGTATATTATTATCATAATATATATTTATTATATAAAGAATATTTTCAAAATAAAGGTTATGATTTGGGAATCCGAAAGGATTTTGAATTGAATTTAAAATATATATATATATATATATATATTTTAAATTTATAGTATTACAAACTTTTTTGAGGCTTATGTTCATATTTATGTTCTTATATATTTATTAAATTATGTCACAATTTATTTATACCATATTTTCTCCCAAAATATTGCTACAACCGAAAAATAATTTAATTTTTGAAAATAAGCTATTCATTTTTTACTGTTATTGAATCATAATGATAAATTTGTTAGCATAAAAGTGAACAATATTTAAGGGATTTAACAGAAGTTTTTTATTTGTAAATAAATAGTCATTGAACTTTCTATACTGAATGGAAAGAAATTTAAATTTTAAAAATCAGCAAATAACCATACTTTGTAGCTTGCCAAATATTCGTGATTCTAGGTGACATGCAATTGCCGTTTAACATAATTTCTTTGGTTTGTCTCTGTCATGGGAACTTGAGTTTCTGAATTGTTAATGTATGTTTTTGTTGCTTCCGGTGAAACTAGAATACACAAGAAGACATTACATCCTGTTCCTGACAATGTCGACATAGACAAAGATGTTTATGTTTCAATATTTTGAACTTGGTATTGGTTTCTTTACTTTGTGAACTCTCTTTCCTCACTTCCTGGTGATCATTTAGTTTTGGAAATCAGCAGGGGAATGTTTGGTGTTTTTACTTCTGCACAAAACCACTATTGCTACTTTAGATTTTGAATTTAGTGCTGATTTTCAAAATGAAACTTTGTGTTTATGGATTTATAATACCATAAATTTTCATTGAATAGACTCTACAATCGTGTTATGTTATTTCTTCGGTGCTGTGCTTCCTTTATCGATAACTGAAATGTTTCTGATTGGGCTTAACAACTATGGTTTCAGCCTTTGACCTTGCAAAGTCCATGACGCTGTACCCTTCCATTGTGGTCTTCCAATTGAAGTATTGATCTCTGAGAAAAAAGAGAGTTGCTGCTGTTGTTATCAGGTTCATGCTTTCATTTCCATAGTCTTACAAAGCTTGAAATTATTATGCAGCCTGTAGGTGTCTTAACTCTTGTTCCTGGTTTGCTACAGTTCACTGACATTTTGAGAATGGTTGGCTACGGTAAAAAGTTGAGAGAATTACAGATTCAAGAATGGAAAGGGTACGTTTATTTGATCAGCTCTATCAAAATTTTGAAGGATTTTTATATATTTATATTATATAATGTGTAGAATGCCTTCTATGTTTCGCACCACCTTGACTTTGTGCTTCTGTTTATATCACATTTAGTTTGTTTCTTTGCTTTATTTTGGACTTACTTGGCTTTCTGTTAAATTTATGCCTTTCAACAGTTATCAATATATATATATATATATATATATATATATATATATATATATATATATATATATATTATTTTATTTTTTCTGAGTGATAAGATAGCTCAACTTCAGTTGACCAAGTTTTAAAGATATTTTCATACATAAAAAAGTCTGGTCTACATCTGCACAATTACTGGCACTACACAAGTTGTTATTCTGAGTTAGCTCTTGCCTTAAGAGTTATTGTTAATAAGAAGCCTCTGATATAGAAGAATTTTCTAAGAAACAAAGGCAATAAAATCATCTACATACTTGCTCTGATCCACCAATCAACTCTGAATAATAAGTATGAAGATGATGAGAAATTTAGATGATTTCATTATTCTATTACTGATTCCTTTCTTTGTTTATGAATTCATTCTTTTCTATTTTGAAATCATATCTTCAACTCTTTTGTTTTGATGGTGGTAATGATACTTGCACCAAAACGACAAGTGGTTGTTTAAATTCAGGTAATACATGTTTAAACTTTTTCAGATATTATATCAACTACAAGTTAATGAAGAAGAAAGTCAAGAGATATGTAGAACAATTGGAGATTGGAGCTCAAAATCGCCATAATGTTCTGAGAGACTTTTCAATGCTACTAGACAATCAGGTAACTTGATGTTATCACTTATATGGCTAGCAAATAGAACATTTAGATACATATTCCACTTGGTGGAAAAAAATATAATGTACTTTAAAATAGTCCTTTTTTTTATTGGAAAGACATATTTAACCTTGAAGTTTAGATTGCAACTACATGAAGTAAACCAAACCAAAACTGACACCCACACTGTATAATACTTGAAAATATATATGGTCTTTCTGATATTCCTTCAATTGTTAACTTTCCATGTATAGAACTTGTCGTTTAGGGTAGTCATTTTAAAATATGAAGGAGAAGAACCAGAGAGCTTTTGTGTTATCAAATCAAAACGTCACTTAGAATTTTCAATAAACAAGATGAGGTTAAGAGTCTTGTTAATCATATTATATATGATCCATATAACATCTGATAAATTCTAAGTAATCTTTCCTTGATCTTGAGTTTCAGATTGAAAATTTTGTTTTGTTTCTGCTTGAACAACAAGGAGTACTTGCACATAGGCTGTCAGATATTGGACAAGAGCACCATAATCTTTTCCAGCAGCCAAATAGTATAAACATCTTTGAACTCCAAGAAGCATATAGAGATGTTGGACGAGATCTTTTAAGGCTTCTTACTTTTGTGGAAATGAATGCTATTGGTTTGAGAAAGATCTTGAAGAAGTTTGATAAACGGTTTGGCTATAAATTCGCAGACTATTACGTCAAGACACGAGCAAATCATCCTTATTCCCAATTAAGGCAGGTTTTCAGGCATGTGGTAATGTCCCTAACTCTGAATACCACATTTTTCAAATTTGACTCAAATTATAGGAAGTTGCTTCATCATCCTGTTTCAAGGTTACGACACTAATGTTACAAAATGTTAGACGGTATCATGTAGTAGGTTCTTTGTTTGTTTTCGCAAGTATCATGTAATAGCTTCTTTGCAGGGCATTGGGGCAGTTGTTGGAGTCTTATCTCATGGACTGGCAGACCTTCAAGATTTACAACATTGTCAAGGAAACTACACTTCTATATATGACCAGCCTTCTTATACTCATCAGGTTAGTTCTTGATACATTATATGCATGATATTTCTAAGCATTTCCAACTTTTGATACCAATTTGGGGGAGAGAAAAGTGAAGCACAGAGATACTGAAGTTGTGTTTCCCAACAATTTCATAGGCCCTGAATACATAATAATATAATAATAATACGTGTCTCTTCATTTTCCTGATTATAAAATATGAACTGACATTTATGAAATCAATCTGAAGCTAAATAATAACATGCAAGGAACAAATTTTATTTGCAAGATGGAATTTCAGTTTAGTTTTTAGTGAGCAATAAAATGGCAAGTTTACTTTGAGAAAACCTTTTCTTGTTTTTGTTTTCTATCTTCATTTTTAATCAAAAAAGAGTTATCTTGGTCTTTTATAATTTATAGCATCTAAGGGGCTGTTTTATTTTCTGTTTTCAAATACAAGAAACAGGGAACAAGTTTTTATTGTTTTCATTTTCACTTTCTTTTTTTCCTATTTCATATACAAACTTTTGAAATCGTTTTCCGAAGCCAAACGTCCCATAATTTATTCTTGCAACACTTGCTGACAGTTTCCTTTTGAATTCTCTTGAAGGATCCTGTTCTCAATTCTATCAAAGAAGCTGTAGACAGATTATCAAACTCAACAAACTTTCTTCAGTTTTTGGGAAGACATGCTTTTATCGTGCAAGAGGAGCTACCATCTCCATCTGAAGATCATATTGTTGATGAAAAATATCATTTTATGTCACTTATTTTGAACTTGGCAAACACATTTTTGTACATGGTGAACACTTACATTATTGTACCTACGGCAGACAACTATACTTTGAACCTTGGAGCTGCAGCAAGTGTGTGTGGTGTGGTCATTGGTACGATGGCTGTTGCACAGATGTTTTCTTCGGTTTATTTCAGTGCATGGTCAAACCGATCATATCTAAGACCACTCGTATTCAGTAGCATTGTTCTTCTAATTGGAAACACCTTGTATGCGTTGGCTTTTGATATGAATTCAATAGTAGTTCTACTAATGGGACGTCTTTTTTGTGGGTAAGTTATTCCTTTACTCTGTCTCATGCTTTCCATATTGGAAACTTTTATGATATTTTCTTGCTAGCAAAGTACTGTTACATATCATACTTAAAGCTAGTTGATCATTTAAGAAAATTTGAATAACTTTACACTCGTCTTATTAGTAAAGCATAGCTACTTCCGATTTCAGGTTAGGTTCTGCAAGGGCTGTTAATAGGCGTTATATCAGTGACTGTGTACCATTGAAACTTCGGATGCAGGCTTCAGCAGGTTTTGTTAGTGCAAGTGCTCTGGGAATGGCTTGTGGTCCAGCTATTGCTTGTTTGTTACAGACAGATTTTAGAATTTACAGGTTCACCATGAACCAAGACACTCTGCCTGGCTGGGTAATGTCTCTTGCATGGCTTTTCTATCTACTGTGGTTGTGGATGTGTTTCAAGGAACCCGCCCATGAGAATGAAGGAAATCTTGTGCTGTATGAAGCAGATACAGGTATGAAAGCAAGATCACTTGTTTTCTATGAGTTATATGAAACTCAATTTTGTTGATCTTTTCTCTTCTAGATGATCTAGATCAGTTTCCATACTAGCTTTCTTCCCCTTGCATTAATAGTGGCATCGAGGCTTTTTATTATCTTCTCTAAGACTTGACTCATTGATCTTGCGAGAATCCAAACATCAACTACATATAAAATATTAAGGACATATTGGACAAACTTCTCCATAAGCACTTACTGGAAGAAAAATAAGAAAGAAATATTGAATGAGCTTGTAGAAGCTCTCACATATTCTTGGAATACAAGTGTGAGATAAAAATGAAAAAGTTGGGAGTAACATATAAATGAGAGAGACACACAAACCTAATGTCTTAATGATATTGGATTGAATGAAATTCCCTTCAGCCTATGCACCAAGGATACTGTTGGTTCTTGTTTTACATTAACATGTGAAAATTCAATAAATGATCCTAAAATATAACATTTTCTTAGTATTATTGTATCTTCCATTTCTTGAGAAAGATCTCCATCCCTACCGAGCTTGGGACACGTATAAGAAAAACTGAAATTTTTACTAGAATTGTTAAGTACAATTTTATTTCCCATTCCTGTAAGTATCAGCCCCTATTGTATCCTTGGCTTGAAAGAATTTTAACATCACAAGGTTGCTGCAGTTTCATTATATATTCATTTATTTTCTTCATGGTTCCTCGTTTTAACCTCACCTTCATGGTTGTACCGTGTACTTTATCTCCCCTGGCACAAGGTAGGAATATCAGTCTCTAGCTTATTGAAAGAGAAAACTAAAATGAAATGAATCCACCATGTTGACTTGAACTAGAAGGTTGAAGTTATGCAGCTTCTTTGGATGATTTTAACATTTCTTTAGAAAAAGCAGGTTAACTTCGCAGTTGTCTCACAACTTTCTCGTGTAAAACAGGCTCACAGTGTGACTATCGTGAGTCAAGTGTTTTCTGTCATACCCTATGCCACCTAGTTTAGTAGTAAATTCAGTCTCCAATCTGGCTAATCTTACAAGACACCAAGTTGATCTGAAACTTCTCCCACACTGTTTCATTAGTTTTGTTTTTTTATTTTATCGAAATGCATAGGGCCAGCAGTGTATGTTGCAGTAGAGAATGAGCGCAGACAACCATTACTAATGAATTCAGAAGAAAAAGAGCAGGATGAAGAAGGAGAAGAAGAAAATGACAATGCTGAAGAAACTAAGAAACCGGTGACTTCTGTTGTGGTGGCATACAAGTTACTTACACCATCAGTAAAGGTGAGAAACCCATCATTGTGACTTTCGTTTCATGTACATAATTTTATATTTTTATTTGTTGAAATTATAAGGATTTAAGAAAGGGAAGGGAACGAGAGATTAAGCAATTGAATAATCTAGATGTTGTTTGAAGTAATAGAAAATATGATGCACTAACCATATTATACTGAACCGGATTGCTAAAAGTAAGACCAAGAAAATTTAAACTTCAATTCAAGGATAATACTTCAGTTAGATTAGTGAAAATATATGTTTAGACCGTAATAGATCAATTATAAACATTTTATACCTTCCATTTTTGGCCTTCTTCCATATGAATATGAAGACATCATCTCAATTGTGATAGTATGAAACTAAGAGTCAAGCTTTTTCGCTAACTATAAATACATTTATCAGGTTCAATTATTTGTGTATTTTATGCTTAAGTATGCAATGGAGATCGTACTTGCTGAATCAAGCCTTATCACGGAATACTATTTTATTTGGTCAACCAGCAACGTATCCATTTTTCTTGCATTCCTTGGTCTCACAGTGCTTCCAGTAAATATTGTTGTTGGAAACTACATCAGCAATATGTTTGAAGAAAGGTACATTGTTGAAATGATTCAATTCATTATACTTACTATTTGGTACAGTGTATTAAGAATGACTCATTCCATTAAAACCAGTCGATTTTTAATAAACAGAATAGTAAATATAAAATCTCAATTGACCAACTTAGACTCTAGTTAGCATTACAAATTATCTACCTTTAACTTCAAATTCCTTGTGATCCTAAAATTTTCCATTTTGAATAGTTATTTTGTTTCTGATCCTCAAAAAGTTTAAGGATTTGATTTGTAATAAAAAATATCGTTACTCGTTCATGGTTTAATGTACATTTTAAATGGAGCTTGTGCCATATTTATCATCGCCTATCACAAAACGACGAGGCTTACCTCTTTTTCTTTTATTTTCAATCATATTTGATCATTCCATTCTTGTTGGATCCTGGTGGCAGGCAAGTTCTACTGACATCAGAAATCATGGTTTGCATTGGACTACTCCTAAGCTTCCATATAATGATTCCTTATTCAGTGACTCAATATGTTGGATCAGCCCTTATCACATTTGTGTCTGCTGAAGTTCTTGAAGGTAATTTGTTCTCACTCTGTATACAATGCCCAAATTTATATTGTAATAAATAGAACTGACATGAGAAGGTTTACTGACAACTTTGCATCATCAGTTGAAAATGCCAATACTTATCTATTCCGATAATTATGAATTTGGAATCCTTTCATGCAATTAGGTCTGACAACTTGTGGCAAAATCTGAAACTGAAATTTGCTCCTCGAATGTGCCTCTTATTTTTGTTTGCTGAATCAATCCAGGAGTGAACCTTTCACTTCTATCAAAAATGATGTCTTCAAGGCTTTCACGGGGAACCTTCAATGGGGGATTGCTATCAACAGAAGCTGGAACTCTAGCTCGAGTAATTGCAGATGGAACAATAACAATCTCTGGGTATTTCAGTGAAAGTAAACTCCTCAATACCACCTTACTCCCTGCACTCCTCATCTGCATCTCATCCATTATTGCTACCTGCTACAGCTACAATTCTCTTTATTAGAGCAATAGTAGTCAACCTTTCCATAAAAAAATTTAAAATCTCAAGTGTATATATATATAGTGATTGTGCAAACTGATCACTAACCTGTGATCAGTAAAAAGCTGTAACAGTTGGTGTCAGCAGATGCTGGAATCAGGTTGCTAAAATAATGTTTTTGACATTACTAATATGTTTCTATGGATAGTTGCTAAGTTTACTAGTTAACTATTCAACTTTTGCCTCATTCTTTAGTTACTTTCTTCCAACATAACTTATGTTCAATTTGCATGCAAGAGATAGAAAAGAATGAATAAGAGAAAGTGAATTACTTGATAACTAGAGTAGTTCTCTTTGAGAAAAACACCATTAAATTAAACATTTCACCCCAAAAAGATGATAACGAGGCATTTACAAAATTTTGTTCTCTTTGGCACAATCATTGCACATTGAATTGATTGAGAACAAGAGATGTGAAAATACAGACAAAATTGGCAATTACAAATGACATCAGACCAATCAAAAGCAGCCCACGGTCTTCTTTGGAGAGGTTCCTGTTGCACGGTATCTTGCAGCAAGTTCCTCTGCCTTCAGAACTTCTTCACCACGCTTGGCTTCAATCATTGCCCTCTTCTCCTCTGCTTCCTTGCGAACTAAAGCCATCTTGTTTTTCATCTTTTCAACATATTGTGCTTTCTTTTTCTCCAGTTTTTCCTAGTCACATAACAAGTTGTTAAAACCTATATTATTCAATAAAAGTACAATACATACTTCTATGTTCAGTTGGATCTACTTCATTCACTTTACATTTGACAGTACAAATTGTGCTAAACCATTTTACAGCATACTTTTAAGTTATCTATAAAGACAAAAGAAACCTTATAACAAGTGTAGAATAATATCATTCCTCCTATTCCTTGTCATGCAGGGAACATAGACCTTGCTTCGTCATGCACCCCAACGTATCAATTTTATTATATAGTTTGATGTTAAAGAAAGGAGGCATTTTCTTCATTCCAGTCATGTTATTACATAGCATGTATCTATATAAAAATTTTATCACGTTAAAATATATACTAAATAGGTAAACGAAAATTACCTCTATTTTTTTCAACTCAGCTTCAAGAGCTGCCTTCTTTTTGTCTTCCCAAGCAGCTACCGCTGAGACATGCTTATTAGCTCTGTTGACATATCAAATGATTTCCCGAGTTTATGTGAGTTTGTATTGGAAGTTTGTTTGAGGGGGCATCAAATGGCATATTATTATCATAATCATGGTCTACATATCACAAAATCATAATTGACATATCAAAAATATAAATATAGATTACTGTACTACAAAATCCATTTCAACTTATTAGCTTGCGCTAAATGTCATAACTTTTTTCATTTTGTAGCATAATGAGTTTCTAAACACACACTTGGTTTCAACTTTCAAAAAGAAGATTCGTCATAAACTGTTAAAGTACATAAAAGTCGTACCTGTTATCTGCTTTGGCCTTTTCACTTTCTTCCCATGCTTTCACATAGGACATCTGTTTCTCTTTCGCTACTTGTGCCAGGGCGATATCTGTTCATGACACAAGAAAATAGCTTAGAAATTAAGACATACGTGGTCCAGAAAAAAAAAAAAAAAAAAAAAGAGATTGGTGAATCCACATCTTCACACGTGGTTTGTTTTTTTGAAGAGATTACAAAATTGTATTAGTACTGACACATTCATGTTACCAAGGAAGACATAGAAATATGTTAGCTACAAGTCGGTGTATATATTTGGAATGTGGTATACCCCACAGGATAGTGTTGAATATACTAATTGAGGTGATTGTGAAATTAATAGAAGCTAGGAATATTAAATGCATGTATGTACTATTTAATGAAGATGAAAAATTTAAATAGTAGTAGTGACATCAGAACTGTCAACACTTGCCTCTGTCAATAGACCCTCTCCAGCTTTGTTTGTTTGCAGGAACTATTGCTTCTGTTGAACCAAGAAAAGTACTTCAAATAATTTATGTAACTATCAAACAAGTAACTAAACCTTAGAATAATATTGATAACACGTTGAAAAGTTAACTACGTGCATCTAAAGTATCACCTACGAGCGTGTTTCCTAAAAAATTAAATTCAAGCATCACTCACATAAGTTTAAGTTGAGTAATGTCATCAACGGAGCATATTTATGATTTGCTATGCATGTTCACGTAATATTAATAATTGATTTTCTTGTCAAACAACTGTTACACCAACTAACTTCACAATTCAACAAAACCCACACCCAAAAACAGATTTTGACGAAAACCCACAAATTTTCTCCTATGAAAAACATCATCAAATAATGACAACATGAACACGGACGCGTGCAATGCAAAACTCACTCTCGGGTGCTACAACGATAGCTTTGCACTCATTTTCTCCAGCAGCTTCCGTTGCATTTGCCCCAGCAGCTTCCGTTGCATCTGCTCCAGCAGCTTCCGTTGCAACGGCGTCGTTCGATGGCACCTCAGCCACAACCAAAGCCTGACCAGGGGCAGTTTCGGGCTTAGATTGCAGCTCGTCCATCGCCGTTGCTTGGATTGGAGTGTTGATTGAGAAACAGAATGCAGAAAGAAGGCGCAGAACCAGAATGAGAGAAAAAACAGAGAAAGCGTTATTATTTATATTGTCCACAAAAGTTCCAAGAAACAAGGTGGACCCTTCATGAAGTGATGGTTTTTAACGGTTCAACAATTCTGCGCCTTAGAAATTATGGAGGCCAATGCTTCTTTGGGCAAACAACATTTTCGACCGTTCACCATAGTTACATTGGATACAAACCCTGCTAAACTTGCCATAATATTTTTAAAGCAATGTTCTCGTGCATATTCCTAAACTTCTAATATTATTTCGGTTGACAGTCAGGTATTTAAATAAAATATTATATATATATATATATATATATATATATATATATATATATATATATATATATATTATCACTTTATATATTTTTGCAATGTTTTTTCAATGATAGTTAGATAATGTTTTTTCAATGATAGGTAGATGGTTAATTTATAGGCATCAAGATATTACATGCATTCAATGTTTATTTAACAAAATCTTCTTATAAATTTAAATGTTTTTTTTGTCCTTTATTCTAAGTATTTTTTTATTGATATCGAATAGAGTGGTTGTCAGTAACTTCGTGAACATATATGCAACTTGTGCTTGAGTTTTGATGTGCTCTAACTTCACATTTCCTTCTTTCACTTGTTCTCGGATGAAGTGAAATCGAACATCAATATGTTTGTCTCTCATGATTGACCAGGTTCTTTGCTAATTCAATGACCGACTTGTTACCAACTCGAATTACAGTCCTTTTTTCTTGCTTCAACTTTAGCTTGCTTAGAAGGTTTCTAAGTGAAACTATATGACAGACACTACAGGATGCTGCAACATACTCGGCTTTGCAAGTGGACAAAGTTACAATGGGCCATTTTTTTTTTAAGTCCGTGTTGAGCTGCTAAGGAAATCAACAACCTAATTGTTTTCATCCTCATCACTAGGACGAATATTTCGTCACAGTCTATTCCTTCCTTCTACTTGTACCATTTCACTATGACTCGAGCTTTATATCGCTCAACTTCTCCTTCAGCATTTGTTTTCTTCTTGTACACCCACTTTACGCGCGATAGGCCTTGCTCCTTTTGGCAAATTAGTCAGTTCCCACGTGTTTGCATTCTATTGTCCCGATCTCCTCGTTCATTGCCTTTTGCCACCTTTTCTCCTGCACAACCTCTTCAAAACTTAAGTCTTCTGAATCTGCCAAGAAACATACAACATGCACTTTGTCAGTGAAGTTGTATATATCTTGTAAACTTCGCGCTCTAGGCTGTAGATGTTCATCTTCTTTATCAGAAGTCTCATGATCTCTCATAATATGTAGTATATCAACTTCCGAGCTTATACTTCCTATAGACTCCTTCTTCGGTTTGTTCCAACTTCATTCGCTCTCTTCATCAATTTGAACATCTCGACTCATAATGACCTTCTTAGTTATTAGGTTAAACAACTTGTACGCCTTGGTTTTTTCATCATACCCAATAAACACGTACTTTTTGTTTCTATCTTTGAGTTTGGTCCTCAGTTGAGCTGGAACATGACCATAAGCTATGCTGCCGAACACTTTAAGGTAAGACACACTCGACTTTCTTCCACTTCAGACTTCTTGTAGTGTTTTCTCGTTTAACTTAGCATGTGGACATCTATTTTGCACATAGATGACACATTGCATTGCTTTTGCCCAGAACTTCTTTGGCACGTTCTTGCTTCTCAATATTGTTCAAACCATGTCAAGAATGATTTAATTCTTCCTCTCGGCAACTTCGTTTTGTTAGGGTGAGTATGAAACTGTCAGAAATCTCCTTTCCCCTCGTAATACTTTATGAGCTCGGATGAAATGAACTCGTCTCCTCGACCAGACCTAACATATTTGATAGGCATGTCGGTCTCTTTCTCAACTATTACTTTAAATCTCTTGAACATCTCAAACACCTCAAATTTCTCCTTCAAAAATATATACCCAGGTTTTTTTTTTGAAAAATCATCTATAAAAGAAATGAAATACTTTTCCCACTGAAAGACTCAGGGGTAATTGGTCCACAAAGATCTGTGTGAATCAATATGAGTTGTTCCTTTGCACAGTACTCGGCAGTCCTAAAAAATGAGGTCCTCAGATGCTTCCCGATCACACACTTTTCACAAAATTTCTTTTCAAATTCCATAGACGGGAGTCCTCACACCATCTCTTTTTTTACCCACTCGGTCAGCCCGCGAAAATGCAAGTGGTCAAACCAAAAGTGTCACATCATTTGCTTCATCCTTCACGTCAAGTTTCAAACACCTCTCTTGGACTATTTTCAAGTTCAACTTGTACATTCTTTCTTCTTCATTTCTACTTGGGCAATCAAAAGATTTGTACTTCCCACAATTGAAGCACTCAACTCCGGAATTACTTGACTGACCACCTCAGCCTCTACTGCCACGACCTCTACCTTATCCTCAGTCACGCCAGTTTTGTTGACCGAATCGCTCCTTACCTCTTTCATATCCTCCTCTACCTCTACCACCTTAGCCTTGAGTGTTCTGAGCATAAGAAACATTCTTCTCCTTTAAGGTTGTCTTTGCTTGGAGTGCTTGATTAAGGGGCTCCTCTTTCTTCTTTCTTCTCCGCTGCTCATGCACTTCAAGCGACCTGACAAACTCTTCTACCGAGAGCACTGACAAGTCCTTTTACTCCTCTATTGCACAAACGATATTCTCAAAGTCTTCGGTTAACGAACTTAAGGTTTTCTCCACCACTCTGCAAGTGAGCAACATCTCTCCATTTCGGCAACCCCTTCGACCTCTTTCATCCTATGTTTTCAAGCTCGCCTCTGAGAGTTTGAAGTCTGACTTGCTTCATACGATTATCCCCTTTATATGCATTCTCCAGAATATCTCACGCTTCTTTTGAAGATTTAGCATTTGCTATCTTCTAAGAGTCGGACTCATCAATAGCTCGGTACAGCACGGATAAATTCGTTTTATCCTTTACCTGTGTTGCTCTCAACGTAGCAAGCTAGGCAATCATCTGCTCTTCAATATTCTCTGGTTCTTGGTGTCCATTTTTTATCACATCCCATACTTCCTAGGAATCAAGGAGAGCCTTCATTTGCAGACTTCAGTTATAATAGCTTCCACTTTTCGATAACTTTGGCAGGGGCATGTTGTTAGCTAAGTTGGTAATCTCGAACAAACTCTCTAACTCTCAAACACTCTTTCTAACGCACTCAGACACTCAAGCTTTCAAGCTCTGATACCAATTTGTTGACAAACAAGTATCTAAATAAAATACTCTGGATATTATTACTTGATGTGTTTTTACAATTAGGGATGGCAAAACGGGCCAGCCCGCCCCATTTTGGCTCGTCTCGCCTTTGGCCCGCCAAAAGCGGGGCGGGGCGGGCTGGCCCGATATAATCATGACGGGCTGTAGACCTTGGCCCGCCCTACCAAGGGCTGGTTGGCGGCTGACCCGCTATAATTTAAAAAAAATAAATTATTTTTTAAAATAATTTTTTTAATAAATTTATTAATAAGATTATTATTTGTTTGTCAATAATTCAATATATATATTATTTCAATTTAATAATATAAATCAATACATTTTTTTAAGAAATTATAATTTAGAACAATAATAAAATTTACATAATAATAAATAATAACAAATATATATATATATATATATATATATATAACGTTAAAACTTATAAAATTTATATTTTTTATATTGAAAATTTTAAATATCTATATCTTTTTTATTTGATAAAACTTCACATTATTCTTTGTTGAGTAATTCTTACACTTTTAATTTAAGTCATAAGGATAAAAATAATCGAGTGTTTAGGATAAACAAGGAGAACAAGAGAGAATGTTGTGTTTCGAGTAAGGAGAATATTTTCTCGTGAGAGTCAAACTTTTTTAATTCTCTTTTTAAAATTTTTAACTTTATATATTATCTTTATAATTAATTTTATTATAATAAAAAATTATTTTTTATTAATTAGGTGGGCCGCGAGCTAGCTCCGTCCCGTCCTGCAGGTTGGCTCGACCGGTTGACGGCTTGGCGAGGCGGGCCAACGCGTGCTGGTGAGTCGAAAACACCAACCTGCCCCCGTCATATTATGGAGGGCTGGCGGGCTGGCCCGCCAGACCTGACTCGTTTTGTCATCCCTATTTACAATGAATGGTACATAGTCAATTTATAGGCATCTAGACATTACCTCTCAACTATATGCATTAAATACAATTACTATCTTTCAATTATATCCATTCAATATAACTATTACCTCTCAATTATATGTATTTAATGTTTACCTAACAATTTCTAACTTGATGATAGTCGAGTCAGGTATACTATATTGTTTTTAAAGAGATGGTGCTGGGAAAACAACTAAGTTGCAATGACTACTATCAGTGGAGCCGCAAGGTTGCATCATTAATTATTCTAAGAACTGATTTTGAGTAATCACAAAATTTAGTACATTCAAATGTTCGGATTCTCTTTCAAATTGCCAATAAAAGAATTGACTTGAAAGTAACCATTGTGGTTTGATTGATTCCTTCCTTATAATTCTAAAAAGTTTAAATTGAAGCGTGGTTAGGCATGGCAACAGGGCGGGTTTTGCCTCCCCGATCCCCGCCCCTGATTTTTTTAACCATCCCCGTCCCCGCTTCCGATCCTAGTCGGGGTTAGAAATTAAGTCCTCATTCCCGTCCCCGTTGGGTTTCGGGTTCTCGCCCTCGCCCGTCCCCGATTTATATTATTTTAAAAAAATAATTACATTTATAATAAATTAATTTTATTATCTATTTTTTATATATAAATAAATATTTATAATTTATAATTATTATTAATTGAATATACATTTTAATTTATTATATTTTTATTAAAATATGTATGTAAAAGAAATATTTAATCATTTTTTTATAATATTATTATTATTATAACACTGTATTCAAATATTGAATATTTATAACAC